CTATACAAGTTCAAGAAGATTGAAATCATATCAAGCATCTTCTCAGATCACAGTAGCATGAAACTAAAAAACAAGTACAATTAAAAAAAAAAACCTCAAAAACATTCAAATACATGGATGTTATTAAACAATGCATGGGTTACCAATGAGATCAAGGAACAAATAAAAAACTTCTTGGAAACAAATGAAATGAACACACAAGAACCCAAAATCTATGGAACACAGCAAAAGAAGTCCTGAGAGGGAAGTTGATAGCATTACAGGCCTACCTCAAAAAACAAGAAAAAGCTCTAATAAACTATCTAACACTACAACTTAAAGACTTAGAAAGAGAACTAACAGAAAAGCTCAGAAAAAGTAGAAGGAAGGAAATAATAAAGATCAGGGTAGAAATAAATGGCATAGAGACTAAAAACACAATACAAATGATCAATGAAACCAAGAGCCGGTTCGTTGAAAGGACAAACAAATCAATGAGCCTTTAGCCGCACTCATCAAGAAACAAAGAAAGAGGACCCAAATAAATATAATCAGAAATGAAAGAGGTGATATAACAATTGACATCATAGAAACAGAAAGGATTTTACGAAAATACTATGAATGACTATATGTCAACAAACTGGACAACCTGGGTGAAATGGACAAATTCCTAGAAGCATACAATCTTATAAAACTCAATCAGAAAGAATCAGAAAACCTGAATGGGCTGATAACTAATGAAACTGAAGCAGTAATCAAAAACTCCCAGCAAACAAAAGTCCTGGACTGATGGCTTCACAGGCGAGTTCTACCAAACATTCAAAGAACTAACACCTATCTTCCTCAAACTATTCCAAAAAAGTCAACAGGAAGGAATACTTTCAAGCTCTTTTTATTCAGCCAGCATTATCCTAATTCCAAAACAAGATAAAGACATTACAAAGAGCCTAATCTCTGTGGCTCAGTGGTTGAATATTGAACTATGAACCAGGAAGTCATGGTTTGATTCCCAGTCAGGGCACATGCTCAGGTTGCAGGCTTGATCCCCAGTAGGGGGCATGCAGAAGGCAGCAGATAAATGACTCCATCTCATCACTGATGTTTCTATCTCTCCCTCTCCCTTCCTCTCTCTGAAATCAATAAAAACATATGTATTTTTTAATATCTTTATTGATTTCAGAGAGAAGAAGGGAGAGGGAGAGAGAGAGACAGAAACGTCAATGATGAGAGAGAGTCATTGATCGGCTGCCGCCTGCACGGCCCCCACCAGGGATCGAGCCTGCAACCCAGGCACGTGCCCCGACTGGGAATCGAACCATGATCTCCTGGATCATAGGTCAATGCTCAAGAGCTGAGCCACTCCCAGCCAGGCTAAAAACATATTTTTTTAAACAAAAAAGACTCTACAAAGAAAGAAAATTACAGGCCAATATCCCTGATGAACACAGATGCTGATGAACAAAATGTCAGCAAATCACATCCAGCAATACATTAAAAAGAACATACACCATGACCAAGTGGGACTTATTCTAAAGATGGAAGTCTTATTCGCAAATCAATAAATGTGATACATCACATAAACAAAATGAAAGATAAAAATCACATGATCATATAAATAGATGCAGAAAAAACATTCAACAAAATCCAGTACCCATTTTTGATAAAAACTCTCAGCAAAGTGGGAATAGAGGGATCATTCCTCAACATAATAAAGGCCATATATGACAAACCTACAGCCAACATCATACTCAATGGGCAAAAACTAAAAGCATTTCCCTTAAGAACAGGAACAAAACAAGGATGTCTGCTTTCACCACTCTTATTCAACATAATACTGGAAATCCTAGCCACAGCAATCAGAGAAGAAGAAAAAAATCAAGGCATCCAAATTGGAAAGGAGGAAGTAAAATTATCATTATTTGCAGATCACACGATATTGTACACAGCAAAAAAGACTCCACCAAAAAACTACTAGATTTAATAAATGAATTCGGTAAAGGAGCAGGATACAAAATTAACATCTAAAAATCGATGGCATTTCTATACACCAATAATGAACTCTCAATAAGAGTAACTAAAAAACAACCCCATTTACTACTGTAACAACAAAAATAAGATACCTAGGAATAAACTTAACCAAGGAAGTAAAAGACCTGTACTCGGAAAATTATAAGACATTGGAAAAAGAAATAGAGGAAGATACAAAGAAGTGGAAGCATATACCATGTTCATGGATTAGAAGAATTAACATCATTATAATAGCCATCCTACCTAAAGTAATCTACAGATTCATCATAATCCCCATTAAAATACCAATGGCATACTTCACAGATCTAGAACAAATACTCCAAAAATTCATATGGAATAAAAAAAGACCCCAAATAGCCACAGCAATCTTGAGAAAGAAGAATAAAATTGGAGGGATCACAAGTGAGTTCTACCAAACAGTCAAAGAATACTACTATCAAACTATACTACAATTCAAAATATCAAACTATATTACAAAACCATTGTTATCAAAACAGTCTGGTACTGGCACAAGAACAGGCATATAGATCAATGAAACAGAACAGAGAACCCAGAAATTGACCCACTCCATTAGGTCAATTAATATTTGAAACAGGACACAAGAACATACAATGGAGTAAAGACAGTCTCTTGGACAAATGGTGCTGGGAAAATTGGACAGGCACATGCAGAAAGATGAAACTACACTACCAATTTAGACCATCCACAAGAATAAACTCAAATGGATAAAAGACTTAAATGTAAGTCGTGAGACCATAAAAATCCCAGAAGAAAACATAGGCAGTAAAATCTCAGACATCTCACTTAGCAGAATTTTCACCAATACATATCCTAGGGCAAGAGAAACAAAGGAAAAAATAAACAAATGGGACTACATCAAACTAAAAGCTTCTGCACAGTAAAAGAAACCATCATCAAAATGAAAAAGGAACCTACTGTATGGGAGAGCATATTACCTATTGATACATCTGATAAGGGGTTAATTTCCAAAATATATAAGGAACTCATACAACAACAAAAGGAAGACAATCCAATTTTAAAAATGGGCAAAGGACCTGAATAAACACTCCTCCAAAGAGGACATACAGATGGCCAATAGACCATGAAAAAATGCTCAACATCACTAATCATCAGAGAGATGCAAATTAAAACCACAATGAGGTATCACCTCACACCTGTCAGAATGTCTACCATCAACAAATCAACAAACTACAAGCGCTGGCGAGGGTGTGGAGAAAAGGGAGCCCTAGTACACTGCTGGTGGGAATGCAGACTGGTGCAGCCACTATGGGAAACAGTATGGAGGTTCCTCAAAAAACTAAAAATGGAGCTGCCTTTTGAACCACTGACCCCACTTCTAGGAATATATTTTAAGAATCTTGAAATACCAGTCAGAAAGAATATATGCACCCCTATGTTCATAGCAGCACAATTTACAACAGCTAAGATCCGGAAAGAGCCCAAGTGCCCAACAGTAGATGAGTGGATAAAAAAGATGTGGTACATTTACAAAATGGAATACCATGCAGTTGTAAAAAGGACCTCTTACCCTTTGAGACAGCATGGATGGACCTAGAGAGTTATTATGCTAAGTGAAATAAGCCAGAGAAAAACAAGTATCACATGATCTCACTTATTTATGGAATCTAATGAACAAAATAAATTGACCAACAAAATAAATCTAGAGACATGGAGACATGGAACAGGCTGACATATCTCAGAGGAGTGGGGTGGGGGACAGGAAGAGATTATCGAACAATTTATATACCTCTACGCATAGCCTATGGACACAGACAATAGTGTGGTGAAGGCTTGGGGTGAGGTAGGGGCTGGGAAGAGGGGGGGAAAGAGGAGAGAAATGGGGGACATCTGTAATTCTGTCAACAATAAAAATATACTTTTTTAAAAAATAAATTTTTTTTAAAAACATACAATATGTAAGGATAAAGAACTGAGAATGTCTGGAAAGGAGAAGGGTTTGGTCATCCTAACAGCGTAATGTTAATTTAGAAATTAAACATATGTTTAGAAATTAAACATATCTTATTAAACATATCTTATTTTCCTCCTTTGAAAATAAGAAAATAAAAAATATCAACTTGTTTGGGTTACTATTTATAGGATTTTAAACATGTAAAACATTGAGGATTATACCATGTAAAACAATGAGAAGTCCCTGACATGAAGCAACAGTGTGATAAAGACCAAACACAATTTCATCATAAAATATACATAGCCTTTCTAGAACGTGAAGTCTTCTGGCAAAGCCAGGTGTGGTCAGGTAAGGACGAAGAAGAACTTGTGGAAAAGACTGAGAATTTAGTGAAGCTTACACACAAATGAACAAATTTCTTTAAAATTTAATGCTAGGCCTAGGAGGAAAGAGCCTGAGTAGGTCATTTGAAGAGGAGAATGGCTAAGATATAGAACAATAATAATAAAGATGAGCATGGGCTTATGGCAATACGGGTAGGCAACAGGTGTGACAAAGCCACAGATTAGTAGGTAAACTAGAGGTTAATGAAGAGAGAATATTAATTTTAGTACCAACAACTTTGCTAATGAAGGACTCTGGAGAATGGGTCAGCTTCAATTTATTATTAAAATGAGTTCGACTGAATAAATATTTCTGCAATGGCAGTGCCAGCATGTAAAAGCTTGTAAGTACAGAGCCAACTGAAAAATCAATTCATTCTTTAAAACAAATAAATGACACAATAACCATAACAGAAACGGTAGAACCTAGGAAAAATACACAAGAATAAACATGGTGCTTTCCTTGACATCAAAACAGTTGACACCATTAGTTATATTCTGGGAAGGAGAAGATGACCAATCCCAGGAACATGTCTCCACAAGCAAAATGCCAATCCTCTTTTTGCCACTAAATTTTACTCTAGCTCTCACGCCAGAGTTGCACACAGCAAGCTATTTTATTTTTTTGCAAACTCTTGAGGTAATTTAACAAAGCAAAAATCAAAAATTAAACTGACCTTTGGAGTACCACAGTCACACTCTTCCCCGGGGTCCACCAATTTATTACCACAGAAAGGAGCACTATAGGCTTCATCAGGCTTTGGAATATTAAGAAGGCAGTTTCCTCCTTTATTTAAAGTTAACTTCTCAAAATCCTCTGCACTGCAACTGCTAAAGTTCCTGGAACCTCTATAATAAACATCGAAAAAAGCTCATGTCATAGCAATTATTCATTTAGAAAATTTTTAAGTCATGTCTTCAACCAACAAGAAATGAATATTAAAACAGCAGAAAATAAGCTAACCAAAACAGAGAGAAATGAGAATTATTATCTATTTCTAATAAATATAAAACATTATTTCACTTATTATATAATACTTACTATTTGGGTTACAATATATTATACCTCCATGAAAAAATCTTCCAAACAATCACATTGAAATACAAAATCATAAATCTCATCAGAAGAGACCTTAAAAATTATCTAGTCCTATCCAGAGTTAGGTTGCATTTTATCTTCTACAATAAAAGGTCTTCATATATTTGGAGGTTGCTATATGTCTCCCCAGTCTTCTTTTCACTCTGCAGGATAACATTCACATGTTCCCCTCACTATCACTGTCTAGGATGCACTACAGCAGTCAAGAAGCAGAATGCACAGTGCAGAATTTCAGCTACAGTTTGAGGTTTAAATGCCTTTTAGGATAAATCTTGAGAACAATGGCTCATACTCTGAAGGCTAGATGGGCTTCTAGAAACTGTCCAACTTGAGCTGTCTATGTGAGATTTAAACAAAAGCAATTTTGATGTGTTCTACATTTTGAGGGGTTTTTAATTATTGTTTTACTCAATAACTATAAAATATTTTCATATAATCTCACTGGCTATTTTTACTTTTGAAGACTAGTGGGGAAAACACCCATATATACAACAAGAATCTCTGAGAAACTCAAGTCACCCTAAAATTTTATCAGGGGAATTTGGTGCCCTGAAAGAATCTCTTTTTCATCAGTTTGAGCAATGTTGCCAAAAGTAGCAGTGTGAATAAAAACTGTTGCATTATAGTTTGGGGGGAAGCATTCCTATCTATGTTGAGTCTTTGTACATTCCAGGAATCTAAGAAACAGAGCCTTTCTGTGAAACTTCGTCCCCTGGGTATACAGTTTACACTCTTCTTTGCTAACTGCCCCAAAATCTCCAGGGAAGTAGATAGACCTGGCTCTAGGCTCATGGGAATGGAAGGCAGTCTGCCTAGAACATTTTGGTACTGTTAACTACTCCTTAACAGAAGGTCTTTGAATGTGGGAAGTTGAGGGATTTTAACAGAATGACTGGCAGAGAAGGAACATAAATGGTCAATTGTCTATTAAAAAAGGAAGAGACAATATTTTGACTCACACAGAAAGAAAAGGCATGGCACAAGATTTTTTACAATAACACTACTTGTTTTCCATATTATTCTTTTTCTTGCTACTCTCTGTTTAAGAATAATGTGAGGAGTCTTTTTGTACAATATCATTCATTCAACAAATACAGGGATGGGCAAAAGTAGGTTTACAGTTGTAATACAAATAAATAATACAATAATAAATAATAATACAAGAATAAACTCTGTGTTTCATGTACTCACAACTGTAAACCTACTTTTGCTCACCCCTGTATTTGTTAAACATCTCTTATGTTCAAGGCACTCTTCTCAGTTAAGGGATAAAAAAAACAGTACATAAAGTGGACATAAATCCCCACTCTGTGAAGGTGACATTCTAGTGAGTGAGACCATAAACATAATAAGTAAATTCGATAGTGTATTAGAAGATAAGTGCCATTGGGGAGAAAAGTGAAGAGGTGAAGGGGATGACCTGTATAGGGGGAGAAGCAACTGCAATTTTTAAGAGTAGTCAGGACAGGCATTTCCAACATTGCGACGACTGAATTGAAACTGGCTATCTGGGGCAGGGAAATATGACAGGGAGAAGGTATAGCAAGTACAAAAATGCTAAGGTAGAAGCCCACCTGGCATGCTCAAGGGAACATAAAGAAGCCAGAAGGGTTGGAGTGGAGTGAGTCAGTGAAAGAGTAAGTAATGTGCAACCCATCAGCACAAGTGGGAATAGGTCATTGTAAGAAACTGACTTTTTACTATGAGGGAAAAAAGAGACTGGGGAGAGGGAGAAGGGAGAGACTGACACAATGGAAAGTGTTGGGCAGGAGCGACTTGATCTGAATCGGGTCACCATGGTTACTGTGTTAACCAGGAAGACCATGCAGAAGGCTACTGCAGAATCCCACTTAACAGGTGATGACAGACCAGCGCAACAGCAGTGGAAGCAGTAAGAAGTGTTTGGATTATTTATATCTTTTAAAGAAACAGCCATTAAGAAAAATGTGACAAAAACAGCAGCTCAGATTTTTGTCCTGAACTGCTAGTAGGAAAAAGTTATCATTACTGACATGGGGAAGACTGTGGGTGGAGCAGGTGTTAGGAGAGACAAACAGGAATTTGAGTCTAACAGACATCAAGTGGAAATGTGAAACGAGTAAGTAATAATTGTTTGACAAAGATGACTTCAGTTAAACAGAGGTTTGTAATTTCTTTTTATCTCCTATTGTTGACCTTTATGTGGTTAGTATAGTGCCTGCCATGTAGGACATAATCAGTAATGTTTTCTATAAGAGTATATTAATCAGCCAATAGCCACAGGAATTTTGAAGACATATGTGTATTCCTACACTTGAGTCTCTAATTGTAATCTATACAAATCCACCATTTCTAAACGAATATAAGAGTGCAATAAGACTTCTAGATACAAAATAAACATACAAAGCCAATTTTATCTTTATATAAAGAATTAGAAAATGAATTTTCAAAAGATTATTTACAATAGCGTTTGAAAATATAAAGTATAGGAATAACACTAACAAAAGAAATTTAAATCTCTATAGAGAAAAAATATATATATTTTTAATCCTTACCCAAGGATATGTTTATTGATTTTAGAGAGAGAGAAAGGGGGGAAGAGGGAGAGCAACAGAGTGTGAGAGAGAAACATTGACCAGTTGCCTCCCATACTCGCCCTGACTAGGGATTGAACCTGGAGCCTAGGCAGGTACCCTGAGCCAAAATCAAACCCACAACCTTTTGGTGTATGGGACTAGGCTCCAAACAAATGAGCCACCCAGCAGGGCAGAAAATAAATATATACTTTAATAAGGAGAATTAAAGAGGATCATGGACTTGAAGACTCCATACTGAAAATATGTTAATTTTTCACCAAACTAATCTAGAGATTTAATAGAAAACCAATCAAATCCCCAAAAAGACTTTTTTGTGGAACTTGATAAGCTAATTTTAAAATTTGCATAGAAAGCCACAAAGAGCCAAAACACTTTATTTTTTCCAATTTTACTTTATCTTTTTATTAAATTTATTGGAGTGACATTGGTTAATAGGATCATATATGTTTCAAGTATACATTTTTATGATACATATCTGTATATTGGATTGTGTGCCTACCACCCAAAGTCAAATCATCTTTCATGTCCATATATTTGGCCCCCTTTACCCTTTACTACCCTCCCATCCCCCTTCCTTCACTCCCTTCTACTCTCTCTAAATCAATGGGAAAAATATCCTTGGGTAAAGATTAACAAAAAATAATAACAACAACAACTGGGGAGAAACTGACCAGTGTCTTCACACACACGCAAAAATCCAATGGCCCATAAATATGAATAGGCAATCTGACCTAATCTAATCTCATGGGTAACCAGGAAAATGCAAAGTAAAAGCACAATAAAATGCCACTACATACCCAACTTATTACTGAAGTTTAAAGTGGATAATATCAATTGTTGGTGAGGTAGGTAGTAGGCACTTATTGTACCCCATGGCACATCTCTTCCACCCACCTTTGATTTCAGCAGTTATGATGGACAGTGCCCCACAACTCCTCCCTTTTACGTTTTTTTTCCTCAGGTGCAACTCAAAAGTACAGGGAAATTAAAATCCCAGGTGGCAACCATCAAACCAAAGAAAGATGGAAGCAACAAAAATGAAAATGTACTGCAGCTACCTACATCAGAATGCAGAAACATCACAAACACAATGACAACTTTAAAAAGCCACATCAACAGGAAACATACTGTACACGGTAGTCCCCCCTTATCATTTCAAGACCCCCAGTAGATGCCTGAAACTGAATAGTTCTGAACTCCACGTATACTAAATTTTTTCCTACACATACATACCTATGATGTTTAATTTCTAAATTAAGCACAATAAGAGATTAAAAACAATAACTAATAATAAAATGGAACAGTTATACCAATATGCTGTAATAAAAGCTATGTGAATGTGGTCTTCCTTTCTCTCAAAATATCTTATTGCACTGCACTCACCCTTCTCATGATGATGTGAGATGATACAACGCCTACGTGATGAGATGAAGTGGATACGCTGGGCAAAGGGATGATTCACATCCCAGGCAGGATGGAACAGGATAGTGTGAGATTTCATCAAGTTACTCAGAACAGTGAAAATTTAAAACTTATGAATTGTTTATTTCTAGAATTTTCTATTTAATATTTTTGCACCGTCGTTGACTTTGGGTAACTGAAACAGCAGAAAGCAAAACCACAGAAAGAGAAACTGCAGATAAGGGGGACTACTGTAATTCTGTTTATTAACTCTAATCTATTCTATAATTAGAGCTCAAAAACTAAAGTAATTAGGAATACACAAGTGGCTAAACTGTAAAGAAAAGCAAGGAAATTGTTATCATAAAAATCAGGGTAATGGTTAACTTTAGGGGCAAAGGTATGAAAGGGAAAATCACAAAAGGGATTTCTGAGAACTGCTACGTGACTGGCCTTGGGTGGCTACACAAGTGTTCACTTTATAAAAATGTATTCAGCTCTACATCTGTTTAGCTAGATTCTCTGTAAGTTTTATTTTTCACTATAAAAATGTTTTCATATATCACAAGTTGTACCAGAATAAGACTCAGCAAGAGTTATCCATGGTGCTTCCCTTCCTGCAGCTAGGCTCAGTGGAGTCGAGTAAACCAGAAGGGTTTTCGGACTGAGAAATCCTTTAGAAAAATAAAAAGATGGCTTTGCTCAACCTGATGGGGGTGTTAGAGATCAGAAAGCTGGCATGGGTCATAGCTTTGATTGGAAGCAATCATCAA